AATGTACAGCACCTTCCTTTTCCAGAGAACCTTCACAGGACCCCATCATGCGTCTGCCATTTACGGAGAGGTTCAGAGACGCTCAGTGATGGAGCCAAGGTTTCAAAGCTGAGAGGTGGCAAAGCCAGGGTTTTGTGTTGGCAAGCCATGTGCTTTAGCCATTGAGCCAAGCCAGGGACTGATTTAAAGCCAGGTAAGCGCAGGTTGACTTGCGCTTTTTTACTAGTTAGGGAACTGTTTCACTAGGAATATGTGGTGAAATCACGTGAACCTGTTCACGACACATTAGTAAACACACACAAGCCTATGCTTACCTTGCTCACTGGCTACGCTGCCCTTGGCAGGGATGGTAGATGGAGAGGCGGCTTTGATGATCTAGGAAGTGCCCTGCATGTGGGAGAGAAACAGATGCTAGCGGAATCTTTGATGAAAAAAATGAGATTGTGCACTCCAGATGAGTAGGTAAACACAAATACAGCTCTGCTTACCGTACCTTGCTGCTTGAGTCATCCATCACCAGGCCGAGCTGTTGGTTCTAGCCAGGCCCACCGACCAGTCTCTGGTGGATAAACAGCGGACTCCATGCAGCCATGACATTCCCTTGCTTCCCTCCCACTCCACTTGCCCTTAGGGGTGAAATGTTGTTACTTGTCCATCCCCAGAGGAGGGTTAGTGGGAGGGTGCTTGCCTGCGGGAAGCAACCCCGGGTCATGTGACCGGAAGGGTTTGACGGACGCCGTCCCTCCTCGGCGCCGCGGGAGCGCCAGGCCCGACCCCGGCCATGGGGTGCTGCTACAGCAGCGAGAACGAGGACTCGGACCAGGTGCGGCCGCGGCGGGCGGGGTTCGGGAACGGGGGCTGACTCCTGAGGGTTTGAGGCAAAAGGGGGGAAAAAAACCCTCATCTTGCTGCTGGCGAGCCGGAACGTCGGGCTCGCGGAGTACGGAGGCCCAAAGGGGACAGATTACTGAAGTCCGCTGGGCCCAGTCCTTGCACCTATTAAAGCCCCAAGTGTCCCTTAAAACAGTCCCCTACGCTGGGGCGTGCTGGCAGCCCCTCGTCGCTCACGCGCCCCCTCCCTCCGTCTCCCCCACTTCCCCGCTCTCCGGAGCCTCCGCCTGGACGCGGGGTGCCTTCCTGCCCGGCTCCCGGGCCGTGGCTGGGCTCGGGGACTCCGTTGTAGAGGTCGGTGGGCCGAGGCTGCGAGTTAGCCTGGCCCGAGAGGAACCGCGATTCGCTGTGCCCGCTTGGGCTCCGAGGTTGAAGGAGGAAGGTCACGGCTAGCCTAGGCGTCGAAGGACTCTGGGGATTGGTGGCATTGGAGTTGGCCAGGGAAGGATGTAGTGCAGAGAGGACTCCAGGAGTGGGGTGAGAGAAGCAAGCGGGGTGGAGTGCCCGTTTGGTGTGGAGTTTGGCCTGCCTGGGTGAGGGAAGCCTTCCCTGACAATTCAGCTGTAGGTGTGACCCACTGGGAGACACGGGCGGTTTAAAGTCGTCTTCCCTTTAGTGGGTTCTTACTTCTCTCTGGCCTGACCGCCTTGGAGCCCTTTTCAAATGAGCTCGGTTGTTTTATGGAACCCTCCAGTCCTGCCTTCTACAGTCACACACCCTGGGCAGGAGACAACAGGAAGGTGTC